GCAACCAACGTACAAAAAACATGAAGTAAATTCAAAAAGAACTGTCATGCAGAAGGTAATGTTAACATTTGTGTGCCACATATTCCTTTTCACTCCCAGTTACTGAATCAAGTTACTATCTATCCACACCTGTCACAGTATAAATACTTTTGGACCTTGTCACTTTCCCTGCAGACAATTTCCCAGACTTTGAGAAGTAGTTTTTTCAAATCATGGAGTGCATTGGTTCAATTTTGTAAATCTTCATAGTCGTGAAACAGTTTTTTTTGACACTGTATTATAGAAGCCTGTATGTTGCCAGGAAGCAGACGGACTTGTTTTAGTGCTTCGGGAAAGCAGAAGACATTTATCACATCTTAGAAAGCACTATGCTTCTCTCTTACTAATGGATCATAAAAACAAGGTCTACTGGTTAAACTGGGATTGAAAACTTGTAGATGTTTTCATTTTTGACAACTCTTTATGCCCAAAGTAATTACATACGTAATAAGGTACAACATTTTCCATTGCTTATAGATGAAGAGGTTGTGCAGCCTATCTTTTAATCTGTCGTAAATGTTTTGGAACAATTCTGGAAGCGAAGCTGGGGAGGGGATGTACACTATAGGCACATTCAGCACTCCTATTTAACTTCTGCAAACTGCTGTCGAGATGGTATTTGGCACCCAAGATACTTAACTGAACTAAAGTGTACTAATGTTAACCTAGGTGATGTTTTGATTGCGGAGCCGTATGACCAGAAGAGGGTCCACGCATCCTGAAAAAGCAAAACCTTACAGGGAGACAAAAATATAAATTCAAGTAAGCAAACTGGTAGATACAGAGGTAGGTCTGGTGAGACCGAGACCAGCAAATGTGCTTGCCTAGGTATAAATGGTGAAAGTTTATTTGGAGCCATGAACATAAAGAGGGCAAAGTACGTCCAGTCTGACTCAGTTTGAGAGGTGCTGCAAAGACACCGCCAATGAACGTGGTGTTAAAGCTTTAATAAAGGGTTTGGAAAATGCAAGAATATTCCATTCCTTAGGTGCTACAACTGTAAATAGAAAAGCATTCTAAACCAATACATCCAAGAAGAGTAGTAACACAGTCCTCTACATAGTTGTGCCATCAAAATGAAGACCAACAGTTTCCACAGCACGTATTCTAACCAAAACAGATTATTAATACAAACAAAAAAGGGTGCATGACCTAGCAGGTGAGTATAAAAAGACTCCTCATTATGCAGGAGAGTCCAGCATGAAAACAGCAGCTAAAATTCTATTTAATTATTGACAAAAGGTCATAGCAAATTCCATTTCCATTTTGTTACAGTCATCTATGACAGCTTAGCAAAAAAAGTCTGAAGATTTTCACTGGTTACAGGCTCAAGAGCATGTGAGCAGCTGGAACAGGACCAGATCTCTGGGGGGCAGATGGAACAACAACTTCAAAAATATTTGTTCCATCTGAAACTAAATGTAAATTAATTGGAACAATTAAAGATGACAACCTATAAGAAACATGTAATAGTATTAAGTGATACAGACACTTTCTAAATATCCTTCTGCCCAATCAGCCCTACAAAATACAGACCCTGGGATGACAATCCAAAATATTACCGGACATAAACAAAACCTCTAAACTTTATGGGTAGACAAGTTTAAGAAAAAGGCTAATGGTGTTTTTCTACTGGCATCAAGTGAACATCAGCATTAAGGAAGCTCAAAGTTTACTGTATATGGCAAAGAACGAGTGAAAATATGGTCATTTCTGTAGCTCAGGAAACATTGGCCCCACGAGCAAAATAAACATTGTTTGTGTTTGCTGAACAGAAAAAGCAGCAATGTACTCATTCCGAAGTATTATCGCCTTCCTGAGATACAGACAGTATCTTTTAGTTAAGCTAAAGAGTTGACAGTCCAAGTCAAATCTATTTTTACTAGATCTGGTCCTACAGGAAAAGCAATGGCTCACAATTCAACTTGTGCACTATAAACTGCAGCCAAGTTGAATTTTGCTACAAATTGCTTGGGAATTTCCCCAAGCCAACAGTCTTACAGAAATGGATGATAAAATATAGAAGTGTTATTGACAGATATAATGGAGAGAATCCAATTCATATTTTATATCACAGAAACACACCAATGAAACACAACATGTTACCTGTAGACATTTTAGGAGATTGAACTAGAAATCCCATAACAATTAGAAGCTGGAGGTCAAAAAAAGGTACAGAGCTGCTGGATGTTGGAGGAAGATAAGAATTCCTCCGGTTCCAGCAGGCACCCACAACAAACATCAACGGCTGCAGACAACAACACTGTCTCGGAAGTGGGCCTGCAGCCTCACAAAACCTGTCTTCTCTAGTATCTCTCTGTCTGGGAATGAACAAGATCATATCTTTGCCAGTTCCCCCATCCACCCAAAAAGGGGGACTGGACTAGGTTACAGGATTGGCCACTTTGACAGAGGCATCAATGGACAATCAGAACACCAGCACTTAACACCTTCCAAGCATTCAGTATTTCTGGCGACCAATGGCATTTACAATAGCATCCACTATTTCAGAAGTGACCTGCCAGCAAGGTAAACTAGTGTGTTGCCTAAAAGCATTTAGAAGTTAAAACCATTTAAGAGAAAGTCTTGGCAAAGATGAAAAATTGTACCTCTCCTGAACTCAGGCTTTAATGGTTTTGCTTCCCAGTATGCCCTAAGACAGAACACTGCAGAAGCACATTCAGTTAAGTAGTTAAAGTTGCAATAACAATTACAAAGGATCTCTTCAAGATATCCTGAGCCAAAATGATCATCAGCATAACACTGAGTTAGCTGACGTAGGTCCAAATTCAAGTAAAATTAAATGGCCGCAAGGCAAAGAATAACAAAAGCATCCTAAGATCCACAGGACTCACAGCCCAAAGCAAATGAGTTATTAGTCTGAATCATAATTCAAGTTTCTGCAATTGCATTACATTATTGCCTATAAAACTCAAAAGCTTTTGATTTTTAAGTTCACAAACTAGTAGAAACTCCAACTTCAAAAAGGTAGAAATACCACTAATGGATTGAAATCGGATAACTTGTGTGGTAACGACCTCAGCCTCACATAACTCATACACCTAGAGCTTGTCATACAGCAAAAAGCCTCAGAAGACCTCCATCTGCTCTGAAAAAAAACTAAGACACTCATCTAATTCTGTTTTAATATTACCATCTACAGTAGTCAGCCTGTGACTCTGCTCAAAGCAGATTGCTCTAATCCTGACCAAGTGACCTAAGCAACTGATCACTGAGTCCTGGCCTTTCTGAGCACAAGGATCTGCATCTCTCATAACTAAGGCTTCATCTGTCAAACATCAGTGCCTGATGCCCTGATGTAACTGATTCAGCATATCAGTTCCCCCCCCCCAAAGTCACCAGAAAAACCATTCTGGTATAGTTTGCCAAAACAAGTCCCAGATTCAATCCATATGCATCAAGATGACTTGCATACACTCTGTATACACAGTGAATCTGGAACTAAATGCAGTGTTTCCAAACTTGATCAGCACCCTTCCTGCTCCCCCATACTTAGTAGGAACACCAGCTATTAAGAACTCTACCCAATTTGCCACATTGAATACTACAGATACTCAGCTATTTACAACTTTCACATATGTGCACAGCCTTCTCCCTACCTGAAAGCTCGCTAATTCTCCATTCATCATGTGATTAAGTTTCATAACTATTTGAGACCATTTCCTTAAAAAAAAAAAAGTGGGAGAAAAAATTTAACTGATTGTACTTACTGAATTTTAAGGACTGCTGAGTTGCTGTGATTCATACTATTTCACAACACAGAATACAAACACATCTATGGATGCAGATGCACATCACGGCTACAGTTAAATTTCTATGCTGCCTAAAGCAGAAAGTTACCCACTGCGATAACAACAAAATAGCTTCTTTTAAGCTCAAAGCTTAGCAGGACTGGGACCTAGAGCTTCTATGACAGAAGGTACCAAGTAGTCAGCAGCAAAAAATAAAGATATTTTAAGTCTTCATAATAATTTAAGACATTTATAACCACATATGTATCGGATCAAATGCAGACTTAAATTCTAAAAACAGAGAACATTTCAGAGAAATTACTTCATGACGTGAGGTGTTCTGGAATAACACTTGACATCCAAGGTAGCTAATAAATTGCCTTTGACAAGGGTAAACAAATTACTAACACATCTTGAGATGCCACTTGTAAAGCCCGATCTGCTCGCACCCAACCTATTTTCCCTCGTCGCTACCGCTTATTTTCTTTCCTCCACACAATAAAAATCAGCTGAGAACTTTCATTTTTGCTTTTAGTTGGTTTCGCTTTCTAGTCGCCTGGAAGCAACAAAAAGTTTCTGTTTAGGTTAAAACCAATCTCGGGTAATACCCAGGAAAGGAGGACTCGGGCATGAATCTAGCTGAAAGAACACCTCTGCTAGCGCTCGGCGAATATGACGGTGTTTTCGGGAGGGTTTTTTTTTTACCGACATACAGGCACACACGCTCACTGCCTTTAGCCGGGAAGTCCGAGAGAACCTTTCACGGCTTAGCAGGAGAACAAGAAGAAGAAGAAGAAGAAAGAGGTGTCGAAAACCACCACTTCCTTCTCCTCACTCCCCGCCTGTCACAGCCGCCTCAGCTGTTTCTGGTCGCGCCTCGCATCTGCTTCTCCTCCCCGAACAACCGCCCTCCTTCCGCGGCAGCCGCCCTGCCCTCCCCGGGGGGGAGCCCCCCGCTGCCCGGGGGCTGACAGGGGAGAGGCATCTCCCAGCGCCGGCGAAGCCCGGGAAGGAAGACGGAAAGTTTCTTCCGCCTCGGGCAGGCAGCAGCCGTCTGCCTCAGGGGCCGGGCTTGCCCTCCGCCGCGCCCGGCACCCGGGGCAGGTAGAGGCGCTGCCCCCGTCCCCTCACGCCCCTCTCCCCGCCCCGCCTGAGGGGAAGGGGCCGCTTTCTGCCCGTCGCCTGAGGGCGGCGAGCGCGCCTACTCACCGCCATGGCCCCGCCGGCTTCTCCCGGCTAACGGTTCGGTCTCCCACACCGGCGGGCAGCGGCACCGGGGCGGGGAGCGGAGGGGAGTTCCCCGATGGCGCAGCTCGGGCAGGGGCGGCGCCGCGCCGGCCGCTTCCCCCCACCCCCTTACCCGCCCACTCGAGGTTACCTGCGCTTCGGCCGCCGCTCGGCCGCCTTTTGCCCTCCCCTCCCCGCACCTGTCACTGTCTCCCGCGGCCGCC